CTTATTCTTTCCTTAAATAAAATCTACGGAATTACCTAATAGGATTAACATATATATCACAATTAATGTTTATGAACAATAAAGATTTGATAACAATTTTTATCCTCTTTACTTTTTATTTAATTTTATATTATTAAAAGAAATTAAAAAATCACATTGATCCTATAGTAAAAAAATTAGATTTGTTCTTATATGTTATATTTTGAATTTTTTAAAACGACCATAAATGATTAAAAATGGTAAAAATCTCACCTTGAAATTTTTTTGATCAATGATAAAGTTTTTTAGTTCAGCCAATCGTTTTTCTAATGGGTCTTAAATAGTTTATATTGATTAACTAAATAAATCACGCATAATAAAGTGTGTTTTGTTTAAAAATTGTTGCATACCTGAAATCAGTATGAACCATCATCCCTTTCGTTTAAATTTTTGGTATAATAAAAAAAAAATATGGTTGGACAAAAAACTGAATCCAAATAACCGAACCAAATCTAATCCAAAAAGTAGTACAAGTTTTTAACCAAAATTGGTTAGATATCCAAACGGATTCAAAATTTTGGTATTTAGATTACCAAAAACTGAATCGAAATATTTCAGGTATCCAAGTGCCCGAACCAGATTTATATACTTAAATATATAAATATATATTTTTTAAAAATGTTCCAAAATACTTAGAAATATATAAAACAGTTAAATGCATATTTAAAAAATAGCTAAACGATACTCCAAATACCAAAAATATTTAAAATATTTAATTATTTATTTTCCAAATATTTATGATAAAGCAATTTTATGTTAAGTTTAATTATTTTGGCATTCATTTTCAAATTTATATGTTATATATTATTTTTTACTTTTAGATTTTGAAAATTTTAAAGTATATATGAATTTCAATCTTTTTTATAAAAAAATAAATGGATTATCCGAAACTAAATTCAATCTGAACCTGCAAAAATTCGAACCAAACCGCAAAGATCTAAACCAAACAAAATCTAACCGAACCAAATGGTATCCAAATGCCTATCTCTAATCAAATGTAAAAAAATTATGATAGCAAAATATATATTTAAATACAACATATTTTTAAAAATCCCACTCCGCGCATGGCGCGGGTTATCATCTAGTATATATTATATATTGTATGTAAAAACTTAATATTAAGCTTAATATATATGCGTGTGTTTATTATTTGTCTTTACATCTAACTCACTATATATCTACGAAAGATTGCCATTAATTTGGTTTGAGTTATGACTGATATTATATTATTACCTACGTTGCTAAAAGAAAGACTTTAGATTTACTTAATTTTGTTTAGTTTATTATAGAATATACTAGGACCTTTGTTTAGTTTATTATAGAATATACTAGGACCGGTCTGGGCTACGCGCAGGATATGATTATCGTGTGATGTATATAACTATAATATGTATAGCCAAACTTATCAAACTCTATGTGAATAAGTAAATATTCATCATGTGTGGTTATGTATATATCGTAATTTGTTTTTAAGGAGTGTGTGTTGGAAAGCTACCAGAATATGTTGTTTACTATAGATAATAAATTAGCGGTCTATGTTTTGCACAAACTTACACTTAAGTGTATCACCTTGTTTCAGTTTCAATGTAATTAATTGGCGATCTATAGTCTCAAAGTCGAAGGTAAAACTCAATAGTGTGTTAACTGCATTATGTTTACCTTTAATAAAGTGTGAGGAAGTTACTATATGCAGTAGCTTCACATATCTTCTTCCTAACATAAGAGCCAAAAAAAACAAAGTGAATTGGCTGGTGAGATTAAAGTTCTTGTAGAAGTTCGGGTCTGTTGTATCTGGAGTCCCGGCGACACCACTTTTTAAGATTGCATTCATGTTTCTGACCGACAAACTCCTTGATTGCCTCAGAATATACATGACACTTTCAATAAACGTATGTTTGTGTGGAACATCTTGGGGTGTAATGAAGACATTTGTTTTTTTTTTTTTAAAGAAAATGAGGTTGTTGATGAATGTGACATATGCTCGAGCTCTTAATTAACATAGTAGCTTGGCTAGATGAGTGTTGCTAAAATACGATGACGGAGATGACGCGTTGATGGACAATCCTGTGGAGCACAATGATTAATTTGGGTAACACATTGGCAACCTTCTTCAGCAGAGGGCTTCCAGTCTTTTATTAATACATTGGCTGCGCTATGAATGAAGAGTTTCTTTTTTTTCAAAGTCAACTCTAAGACAATATCAGCTTCCCTGGTGTATATCAACTTAGGCGTTCCAAAATAGATGACACCAAAAGATTATAAGACGTTACATTTTAATGTTATTGTGTAGATCATTGTATTAATTTCTCTATAACTTTTAAGACAATGGTATTCATTCCCTTGTTGCGTTCACAAAGTACCAGAACCATAATTGTGTACAGAAAAAAATATAATATCGATCAGAATCACAACTCAGTGTTTCTACACGTAACATAAAGCCTTTTTTTTTTTTGCATGAGACTTTTAAGTCTTCTACTTATATCAGAAACAAAGATAGAGAAGAATCCATGAACTCTTTTCTATTTCTCCAAGAAGCCATACCTGTGGTTTCCATTATTTAGGCCAAAAGAGAAATATCCATAACTCAGACCGTGAAGAACATCAACTCTTTTTCAGATCATAAAGATTGGTCTTTGGGATTGTGTGCTTCAATGTCAACGTGCTAGATTCCAGGGACAAGCTCTCGGATCTGTTTCTCTAACCGGATTACTTCACTTCCTAAAGCTGTTACAACTTCCTCACCTACAACATGCTTAGACAGCTTGGAATATACAACCTCGAAGAAAAATCCACAAGAAAAAGAACTTGGTGCACTGCATATCGTAATTTGACATAATATTGAGCATTGCAGAATCATTCCCTTTCTCTGCCTCGCGAAACTGAGAAAGTACACCATCACCTTTTCAGATAGTTTTGAAGTAACTAACCACATATTTAACTAATGGTATTATTCATCTTCAGTTAAAGAAAGACAGATATGAGATAAAGGCTGCAAATTTAGTTACCAATCCTTTGAAACAGTTGAAGAAACTCCACCTATTTCAGCTTTAAATCTGAAGGATTCAGGATCAATCACTTCACTTTTGCAATCATTTAGAGCATATACAACCTACACATCAAAAAATTCTTAATTAAATGCGTTAAACATAAGATTTATGAAAAGAAGAATGTGTACCGAGTCGTTCATTAAGAAGTGAAGAATTTTACGCATGTCTTGATCATCCATTGCTCTTCCAATCAAGGCATGTCGGATCCGTTGAATGAGAAGTATAGCCACCTAGTAAAATCCATACTCTTTGGTCTTAGAAAATTTAATACAATGAAGTAGGATTACAAATTAAGTAGAGCTCGTAAACGTACCATTCCAAGTAAGTTTCCAACAACAATCCTATAGGAACATAAATAACATTTCCTGTCATCTTAACAGCAACCAGAGAAGTCGCGGCAATTGCCAAAACTGCCACTGCAGTGCCACCCTGTGCATTTACAACAATTATGATCATAAAACAATTTAGCAGAGGGTGGAAAAACTGTTTCAAGAATAGTAAACTAATACCTCGGTCATAACAGCAACAGAAGTATAGGATCATGACCACGTCAAATATAATCTCTTATGGTCATGCCTTCTTGTGCAGCTCCTTTTTTGACAGATTTAATATCAACGGTAAGTGAAGCACCTTTAAGACATAAAGGATTATTAACCTTGAGAATGTAAGATTGAAGCATAGCAAGATTAAGCAGAAGTTATTACCTTAAATTAAAAAGAGCCAACAATTACCACAACAGCATATTCCATATTTGGAGATGGCCGAGAAAGATTATCAATATTGATGAACATCAAGCATATACAACCAACGAAAAATACAAAAATTATCTAATAACCCAAAGATCAAATAGCAGATAATCTCCAAGCCAATTACCTCAAAAGTCCACAAGTTCTGTACTCCGTAAACTATGGTAGAACCAAACCCAAGGCAAAATATGCCAACAGCAGATATCGAAGACCATAGAAACCTTTCCTTTGAGTAGCCATACTTGAGCCAAGAAACAACATTTTATTGGTCTAAGCATTTTTCAAACAAAAGAAAGCTCTTATATTCGACTAACATAAGAGTATATATAAGATCAAAGAAGTCTCACGGATGAGGTGTGTCTGGTGCACGCCTTGAGCTATTGAGCCCATAAGCAAGAAGAGCCTACAACATTCACATGTATGAGTTGATGAATATACTAAACTGGACACACCAAAAAAAAAGCAAAAAGAAAGCTAAACCTCGTTAGGAAAATCAGCGACGGAGTGAACAACTTCAGCCATAATGACATGCCTAGAACTTGTCCACCAAACCCCTAATTTGAGAGAAAACACAACAAAGTTTCACCACAGTGCAGTAGTGACAGTTCTTTGACTGCAAGATGTTTCACGAAAACATAACTCAACGATATAAATATATATATAGCTAGAAAGCTCCGGTCGTAATTCTCTAAGCCAAAGCACATGTAAGAATTTCAATTCTCTCACCAAACAACAGCACCATAAGATCACAATAGCATCTATGAAACTAAACCTAGAAAGAAGCTAGCTAAGGCAATATTCTACCCCTTAAACAAAAGATACTACTCAAATTGCAAGAAACAGTACAAAGCGTTACCTATGTTGATCATTGATCTTAATTCGCTTGACTTTTTTAGCCCGAGTGAACAAATCTGTTATACCAACGAACACTAAGTCTAAATCACTCAGTACATCAATAAAATGGAAACTTTAAGCCAAGGAAGAAGAAGACATACTCCGGAGAGAAGTATATGGATCAATAAGAGGAGTATCTCAATCGAGCGAAACAGAGCATCGTACACCTAGACCTCGACTTGATAGAAACCCTCTTAATCACGAAGCCCTTATGCAGGCCGTTTGAGAAGATAAGAATCGCAAAGTAAGCCGTCGCAGGAAGAGGAGGGACGACGTTCGTTCTTCTCTGCAGCAGTATTAGGGTTAGCAGAACTCAGACCTATCGAGCCGGATACGCTTTCAAGCCTACAGATCAAAAGAAAGGGCCCAAGACGAAACACACAGATTAGTTTAGTTGAACACGTGTCTTAATCGCATGAAAGTACTTATCTCTGTCCTACGTGGCCTTTCCAGGCTGGCATCCGACGTGGACACTCTCAGGAGGAGAGATGCTCTTCTTTATATAATAGATTTAACTGGTTTTTTCCTTATATTTTAATTTTCTTTAGTTTATTATAGAGTATATTTGACTAATTATTCTATAATTAGACTAAATAATCTATATAAACTATTAAAAAAACTGAAATTTTTGTATTGTTTTTAATGACTAAAATTATTAAAATTCATTTTTTAATGTCAAAATACATATAAGTTGCTAACTAATTGGATAAAAGAATTTATTTTAAATTCGATTATCTTTTTAAATTATTTATTTGAATTTTATGAGAATGTGAATAAATTAACATATAATTCAAATATTTGTTAATGTTAAAATCAACTAATATATATTTTAAAATTTTAATATTTATTATTTGGTGATAATGAAATCTATATGAATTCTTTCTTAAGTGTTATGGTAGTGATTAAATGAAGAACAATTAAAATCTAAAAATGATGTACTTTAAAGGAATCTTGAAATTATGTCAAATACTTTTATTTCTACGCAGCAAAACAAAATATAATATTATCTAAGAACTATTTTTACGTTTCTTAATTTAATCACTAAATGTTCAACTAATGGTTCTAACATTACATAACTGGTTAATGTAAATTAAATAAATACATTTGGTTCTAGCACTGTTTTATTTTTTTCTTATATCTTTTTATTATTTTATAGTATGTTCTATTTTAAGTAAAATACATTAATTATATTATATTTTATTATGGATAGATTTTCTTAGGTTTTTATATTATTTTGTGTTTATATAAAAGTTTGATTATATGGATTATACAATATATATACATATCAAAATTAAGATAAAGCCAACAGTATTATAAATTAAAATCTATTGTTCTCTTGATATGTAACTAAATGTATATATTTTTTTTACATTAACCAGGTTGTGCATAATCTGATGATGGTGGAGAAACCAAAGAAGGTGCAACATCATCATACATATTCACAACAAATGGTGTTATAACCAGGCAACTCCATTCTGTATTCACCTAGAATCTGACAGAACTCAAGCTTTCCTTTCTCTGCGTTACACCAACTCGGCAGCCTTGTCTGATTATCTTCAAACAACCTCAGAGTGTAACAAACCAAAGAAAAAACGCTTAAGACTAAAGTAACATGTGGAGAAATGTGAAAGAGACTATTGAAAGATAGAAACTCACAGTAAACTCAGTGATTTGAATGTGATCAGCGAGAGGACCGATCTAACACACCAGCTGCTTTGTACATTGCAAGGATGAAAGCAACACAGGCCGTGTTGACTTCCCGTCGCTGTAAACCCACTCATCATGTTCATGGATGGTTAGTAACTCATCAAATGACATTCCACGCCTCGCTGTTTCTTCAAGAATCCCATACAAATAGAGAATGAAGATGGCATGACAGTCAGCTCAATGAGACTAAAGCTTGGCTGTAAATGTAATTTTTTTGTTTGAAATTAATTGAATTATTTGCTAGAAAGTTGGAAATAACAACAAATTTCACTAACCCTTCATACACAGTTTCTCAAGAATAGACACCGCCTCCACTCCAACGCAAGCTAACATATTTGGAAGCATCTTACCACATGATAATAAATTTAGAATATCTGCATAAGCAGGTATGGTATGAATATAAATCATGATCAAATTGCTTACGGTTAAGCCAAAGAGTTCCAAACAGATTAGAGGCTAGGACCAAGCATGTCTATGACCTGAAATAATTATAAATCTTTCTTTATAAAAGATACCTTGTCACACAATGTATAACCAGGCTCATACTTAAAGCTTGCCTGGTGTATGCAACAAAGGTTACTCTGAGCGGGCACATACTGAAACTCTTAATATGTAAAAGACATGACCATGTCTTATTGCTTCTTTGTTATCACAGCATCTAGATTACAGCTTTTGCAACCTTTAACAACGTAAAGGGTTAAATTCTGAAGTTCCATTAAAACAAAAAAAAAATAATCAAAGTAATATAAGTGAAAATTATTACCTATGCTTCGAGGGAGATAAGAAAATATCTCTGGAGTTGCTTCTGCATAGAAAAACTCTGGGCCTTTGGCACCTTCAACAAAGAAGCATTAAATTTTGTAAGATGAGAATCTTCTATATGTGTTCCAAAAAAAATAAAAATCATCTATATAAAACCTGTAGCTTACGAATGGATATATGTGGAACAAATTATCATTCTGGTGTTGTTAATATATCTACCTCTGCCTGATTATGTCGAATAGTTTTCCATACTGTCCATTTGCACCATATGGCACATAAGCAAGATATTCCTTGGCCAGAAAAATATGTATTCATAATACGGAAAGACTTCCTCTATCTAATAGATACATAAAAGTAAACGAATGGTGAGGCAACTTGAGAAGCCAAAGTGGCTAAATGATCAGCACTAAAACTTGCTGCTTCGTAAGAAGAAAAATTCTCACTTGAAGAAAGCTTGTAACGGGACTGGAAGCATAATTATTAGAAGATATACTTGATGGAACTCATTATTTATGAATGTTACATCGTTTATGACACTGTAAAAGTATAGAAGAGAAAAGTAACTCAATATCAGATAAGAATTATGTCTCCATGAGACTCAATAGATAAATAAATCAATGTGAATAAGAGAAACCCAGTTAGCTTAAAGATGTGACGACTATACCAATAATCAAGCTAAACACTTTGGGCAACAAACACAATATTTATGAAAAGAGAGAACATGCATCTCACAGGCCAAGAAAATGAAAGTACAAACAAACCATTACTGCAGAAAGACGAATGTCTTCTCAAATGCAACCTTTAGTATTTTTACACCTAGGACGTCTTCCACCGGCTCTCGCCTACGTAAAAGGATAGCAGCTTTAGTAAAAAGGGATATAAAAAGTAACGGGAATGAAGCATCAGAATACCTTACTGGAACCATATAAGTGATAGATAACCGGCTGGTAGATGTCCGGCCAAGAATCATTATCATCGGACCGGAGTTGGAGGCGGAGAACTAGTTCTCGAGAAACGCAAGAAAGATATATAGTGTGAATATGGTGAACTTGAAACATTACGTTGCCATTTTAGGTTACAATAATGAGGGTTTGCGTAACCAAAGTGGTGTCGTTACGCAAAACACACAACTCACCGAAATTAACCTGACGGTTATCATGCATATGAGGCTTAAACCAACATCCCCTTCTCCCACTTCTTCAACGACTCCCAAAGAACCTCCTCCCTCGTCACCATTCCCTACTTTGGATACCTCTTCTTTTACGGGTTTGTAGTATCGTGCTTGGCGGTGTGGGAGCTTTAGGGCTTGGGTTTGATTGTGGCTTGGGATGAGTTTGATTATGGTTTCGATGTGATGGTGAGTACTTTGGTGTTGGAATCGGTGGTGGAGGACGAAGGATCGTGACAGT